GAAACATGCTATTTAGTTTACTTAGCATACTACTTTGTTGGAAACCCTGCTCCCTCTCTCTTTCTCTTACCTCATCATCATTGGTACCAATTGAAGTCACAAATCCCTCGTACTTGCTCCCAGCTGGTGCATATAAATCCTTATCGAAATGTCCTTGAGAACCAAAACCAATCTACAGGACAATTAATACATCATATTACACAGTACACTAGTACTAGTACATGTACATGCATGTACCAACGTTTCCTTTCCCTCACCTTGCTGCTTTGCTGCTGGCCATTGAGTTCTTGTTCAATCCTCTGTCTCTTGGCTTGGAACCTTTCAATCTCTTGATCTATTTCTAATTAAAGCACACCACCCAAAAGTGACACGAGAAGTATGCTCGGCTTACCTTCATGAGTGACAGGGATAGACATGGTTTAAGAGGTAAGCTTCAGAGAAGAAATGAAGAAGATAAACGAGGAAAAGTTACAAAAGAGGTTTGTTTTCTACCTTGATTTCAACGTGGGTCAGTCGTATCTCCGTAAATTTAACCTACCCCAAAGTCCCAAACTAATTTCCGTATACTATAATTACATAATTGCCTGTAGACCACGCCTACTTTACGTAGATTTAATTAATATTCATTGCATGCATCCTATCATCTTGCTACACTTGCAAATATGTTGCTATGCTTGCATTGCAAATGCACCCAGTCCAGTCATTACAATAGAATTTGCTGACTCGGTCACCGCTTCGAAGAAGAAATTCATGACTGATGGCTCACCACAAATTTTTTGGTGAATTTTCTTGTGAATGTGGGCAATCTTGGAAAAGTGAGAACACTTATCCAGATGAGAAACAGATATGTTTTACATGCAAGACTTGGATTTACCCTAAACATCTGGTAAGTATATGATATATCTGTTTTATATCCATCTGCAATCTGCTTTATTTTTACAGCGACCATTAAGAAGTGAGCCAATAAAGAAACAGGATAAGACACTGAAAATTAATGATAATAAATTAATACTACATCTTCTCCTTTTTGTATTATAGAGACACCCTATCAAGGCCGCTACCGGGCATATGGCTGGTTTAATTGCAGTAATTGTGGTAAAGAATGGAGTAGCCACAATTCATGGGCCAACATGGGACAAGTGTGTTATTCTTGTGACATCATGATATATCCCTACAGACAAGTAGAAAACTATCACAAGATTTAAAATCATTACTTTTTATTTATAGGTGAAGCTGAAGCGTGGGAAGGGAAATCCAAATACCCCTCACTCTGAAAAGTACTGTGAAATGTGTCGGCATTTAAAATACAATTGCAAAGATTATAATCCTGTAAGCAATCTAAGCACATGCAATTAATGGTCAACAACTCAGTATAATGTATTGTTGGCTTATTATGCTATGCATTCAGTTATTTTAAACATTCTGATATAGGATACTGATACTGATACTGATACTGATCCTGATAGTGATGACCATGCAAGTGATTACAATGATGATGATCGTTATTATTAAGAAAAATAATGATGCTTTTATGGTCACAATTTATTGTCTCAATGAACTGCCACAGATTTTTGCTACGCTGAAATTTATTTTTGTGAATACATGTAATGCAACTGCAATTCATATGCATGGATTGAATTTTTAAATAATTTTTATTTTGTACAACTTTTCTGTTAATAGTGGCTGTGAATTTGCTTATTCCAAATGTTATGTAGAGTGTAGTCACACCTCACACATGCAGGAACATGCAATGAATAATAGATCAAGTATATCCTGATAAATTTCATTATCTTATCACTTCCTTTGCCTGGAGCCCTTTTAATAAACTGCAGCTGCATAGTCATTCTACTGTCAGTCTTGAGTCCTCTGTCTGTCTTGTGCGAATCTTTTTTTCTGATGCAGTGAACATGTCTTCCCAGAGTAAGTTATGCTAGAGATATGCTTTTACATAATGGTGATGGTGGTACTATTATACACACAGAGACACCTTATCAAGGATCCAAGAGAGTGTTTGGTGATTTTCGCTGCTCAAAGTGCAATCGTACATGGAGCAGTGGTAATTCATGGGCAAACATGGGACAAAAGTGTAAAGAATGTGACATCATGATTTACCCCTACCAACAGGTAAGGAAACCATGATAGTTCTTTATTTTAGTCTTATTTTATACACAAAGCGTCCTCTTCTTAAAAGAGATAAAGATGAAGAAGACTATTTGTATGATTCTGGTGCTCCCCACCTCTCCCATCTTTGTGAGAAATGCAAGAAGCTTGGATACAACTGTCGAGGTCGAGGATCCAAAGCTTTTTATTAAAATTGTATGGGACAAAGCTTTGTTTAATTGTATATGAGTAGCAAGAGACCAAGAGTAACAGCAGTATTGTCATTTTTCTATTGTGTATTGTGTATTGTAACATAATGGTATGTTTTTGCAATGTCATTGTTAAGTTATGAAATTTATAAATATTCACTACTGGGACTATCCCTCAGTTTATCCCCCTAATAATGATAATGAATAATAATAAGATAGAATGATTGTGCAGCGAGTGCCCACAAACTCACTGTATAGTAATGTATACCAACAAATAAGCTGGGACTACCCCCAAAAATGTACCACCTCATTCATTGCCTCCTCTTAAGTCTTAACATTAAATTGTATAAAATAT